CTCCGTTCTGCTTCGAAATCGCGCTTGGCTAACTCTAATGGAGATGGCACCACTCTCAACTGTTCCTCCACCGGCTGAATATTTTCAGGATTCACCATCGGGATATTGTCATTTACTCGACCGCTTCTCCACTGCTCGTACTCTTGAGATAACTCGAGATCATAAGTGAACAGATTCACACGACGAGTTTGCTTCCAAGCATCAGCAACCCCTTTAACTTTAACCTTATACTGATCTCCTTTGAATGCAAAATCCGATCCTACCAAGTCCCACGTGGCTGGGATGAACTGCCTCGATCCATACTGTCTGGAAACTAGTAGCGGTGCATACCCAACAGAACCCCATATACCTGACAAAGGAACCCAATCTCGCTCTCCACATCGGTAAAGTATATCCGAAGAGGTATTCCACGAAGCTCGCCACAAAATATCTCCATCTCTGATATCCTTGAAGATGACCATCCATTTTTCTTCAGTAAAACCCCCAGGCCACTCTTTAGAAAGAAAATCTTTCAAAGGCGAAAACCCCTCTAGAAACACTCGTCCTGGTGCTCTTTCAACATGTTTAAAATGATTCAGAATCCACACTAGCAGCAAAGGCGCACATCCTATAAAGCGTCCTTCTCCCTCGCGCCTACAAGAACTCAAAGACCGAAACGTCTCAGCTAGAATAGCTGGAACAGGATCCACGTGCTTGTCTAATCTTTCAAACAGGTCAACAACTGATACGTCTACATATCCTAGCACTTTTGGAAAAATAACAAGCCCATAAATCCCCAAAGCAAACAAGTCAAGCTTCTTTCTTTTATCAGGATGATGAGCAATTACTTCTTTCAGAGCAGCCCAAGAGATGCACTCACTGTCTCCTTTCTTCTTAATGTTTCTGACTACCCAATCTTCACTCATTCCGGTCATCAATAGTAATTTCTTCTTAAATGAAGGAGTGACTGGCAGCTTGGTATATATTCTATCCATTTGAGACCTCGGACAACGGACCAAAGCTTGATACTCCTCTATTGTTGGTGTCAGGTCCACCCTACCAAATGTGAAACAGCTATAAGCCGGATTCCAGAACTGCGCCAATGCTCTAAACAGATTTCGGTCAATAGGAACATCCAGAAGACAAGGAATATCGCCGTACAATTGATAAAACATCTCCTTATCGGCTGCTTCCCATCTTCCCCATATCTCTCTTAGTTCACTCAGATCATTCTGACGTATGTTGATATGAGTATAACCAAATAACTTCGACACATATCCAGACATCACACTGTCCCCGTTGGTCAGTTGGGACTGTTCTGACCACCTCAGAACATCCGCATTGTCCTCAACCTCTTTTTAAACCGTTCGTTCCATATTACTGGCCTTCTATATGGACATCGATCCCAAATCAACACCATGTAATGGACATTGCAATGCAAAACAGAAAAAGAAATAAAGCAAAGACAACAACAGATCAGTTAGTAAACATAAAGCAATTAAGTCGGGATAATAATTTGTTAAAGAATCATACCCACATGCTGGCTACCCGATTATGCTTTATCAAATCCTACCCAACATGTTATCTACCCCCATGCTTTGTTATTCACAAAAAGAAATCTTAACTGCATGGTATCTAATTCGCATGCTTATTCAAAAAATAAACCTAACCGCATGATATCTAGTTCGCATGCATTTATTCGAAAAACGAAAATAAATGACTCAAAAAAGATTTTCCTTGTGTACCCTCCTCACGGGATTCTTAAGGTTCAGGTTTGGATCAACCTAAGTCCAGGCTCTACGTTCACTATATGTCGGGTTAGTATCTAAAGTAATAGGTTCTCGAATTGTCCTTGCCGGTGCCCCCTTGGGCTGTCGAACCCTCAATACTGACCCATCACAGGCTTTAGTGGATCGAGTTCAATTTCGAGGGAACACACCTCCTTATGTCCATGCGGAGGTGATTACCATCACGAGGACCATAAGGCGTGAGCTCCAGGAGCGATCCACTATCCTATGCGGAGGTGAAAACCACACGAGGGCATAGTCTCTCACTCCTACTTAAATAGGACGGAGCGAGGTTTTAGTTCATGTTATGATAATGCAGCTGTGCAGTGTGTGAGGAAAAGCGAAAAAACAAACAATAAAAACACTCAAAATCAATTCCTAAAACAAACAATTATTCTGAAACCATTAGCAAACAGATTAGTACAACTATTTAATTGTCAATCGAATTAAATTAAAGAAATCAACATACAAACAAACAAAAAATATTAAAAACCAAACAATGGATCAAAAATCAAATTAAAACGAATTTGTAATTTTCAATTGCAAAGACAATTAATTAATCGACTATCGGCTTGACTCTAAAAAAAAAAAGTCCCCAGCAGAGTCGCCAAGCTGTCGAAACGATTTTTTCCTTAAAAAGGTGAGATTTTAAAAAACCACATTAATTTTTAATTTATCTCTTTCAATTGATTTTTAATTTAAAAACAAATGCGATTTAAAAAACCTTTCGTTTCGAAAAAAATTCAGATTTCCTTTATGATCGAAAAAATACAGTTCAAAAGAGTCGCCACCAATCTTTGATTAGGGTGTGATTGGGCACCCAAAAATGCTTTGTCATTTTAAATAAAAATTAATTTTAATTAAAACAACAAATTGAGGTCTGCGTTACCAAAATCCGAGTTCGGGAGTCGGTTACGTGTGGGGAAGGATTAGCACCCCCACAACGCCCTAAATCGGTACCTAATCGATTAATTAATGTTTTTGCAATGAACTTTACAAATTCGAAGTTAATTTGATTTTTGATCCCATAAAACAAAAATGTAAATTTAAAACATTCAAGAACACTCAAACGAATTAAATTAAAATTACCAAGTCATTTTAGAAAGATAAAAAATGTTCGATTATTTACAAATATCGAGACCAGATCTTAAAGATATAACAACCTTTTCTCGATATATTTAAATAAACGAACATTTTTTTTTCATTCCCAAATTTTAGGTGACGAATCAATTTTTTTTGTTTCACTTTCGGGATACACTTTTATTTTAAAATCATTAAAAGCGGACCTCAAATCAGTTATGACTGCCCACTTAATACAATTTTAAATTAAAAGTGTATTACCCTTAATCCGATTATGTAATAGGTTGAGTTATGCAAATGAGGTCATCATACAATTTTATGAAAAAAAGTATGTCATACCAAAATTAATTAAAAAATAAAATCACATATTCGAATAAATGTTTGAACCTAAAAAAAGCATTTAAAAGAATACATGCACATGTTAATACTAATATAAATATACATATATATCTTATAAACATGCTAATGGATTCTCAATATTTTAAAATGGTTAAACTTAGGCATTATAATAATGTTTCATGGAACAACCCATCATCTCCCTGCCAAAACCACACCGAAACCGACAAAAGTGGAACATAAATAACACCATACCTCAACACATGTATCAATTTGAGTTCATATATCAATTAAAAAAAGTTACCAAACTAAGAAAACTTTCTAAACTCAGGTTACGATAGAAACAGTGCATCCTTAGTTCAAAACTTTCATGTTATATTACTTCCAAACCCTACAACATAGATTGACTCGATAAATAAACCATGTACTTCTTATTTTCAACAAAGTTAAAATCCGAACTCACATTGCTTTTGTTCTGACAGGATAGAAACTAGCTTTGTTTTTGTTTTGAAAGGACCTGAACCCGCTTTGCATTTTTCTTGAGACTCCACGGGAAGAGGAGAACTTCATGGTTTCACCGTTTTCGAATCCGCCTTTTTTTTAATAGCATCCCAAAATGCATGAACATCCACATCGTCAGGAACTTCTTTGAATGATGGCAGGTAGTTTACATCCACAACGACATGATCACCAGAACCTTCGGAGTTTGCAGGGGCAGTAGGTATACATTTCAAACTAGAACACAAAACTTGAACAAAGTAGATGAATGATCAATGTATTCCTCTTTCATGGCCAACTCAGAAGCATAAGGAAGGACGAAGTTGACAGTCAACTTGGAAGGAAATGAGAGAGAAAAAACCTTGTTTTTTTACACTATTTTTCTTCCCTGGTTTTTTCATCATGAATGCCCCCCTAACAAGTTGTTTTATTCAGTTTTTATCACTCCCCTTTCCGAATGGTTTCCCCTCGTTTTTTCGGTTCTGTGCATGATAACGAGGCTCACGGTTATTTTGGTTAACTCCTGATAACTTCCATGTAACCATGCGTGGCTGAGAGAACTTCTTTCTTTTCTTTTCCGTTTATTGCAGGTACATCCATGCAGTTTTTCAGGCGTGCATCTTATGCGTGCAAATCCAGACCGTTGGATCAACATTCTGTTAGGCCTACAATCATATAATATGTAAAAAAAAATAAGTAACACTAAACTTAATAATAATATAATATATATATTTAAAAAGTTCAAAACTGACACCATACCATATTTTATTATCTATTTGTCATGCTACATTACTATATAATTATCAACAAATAACATAAAATAACATAACACAACCAAAATAAAATTATAATATAATAGCAAAAATCCTCGGACGAAAACATGTGTCTACAGATTTTTAATGAACTATCTCTTAGACTTGTCAAAAAGATTTATATATTGATATTTAATTCAGATCTCTCTATTAGACTTGCCTAAGAGGTTTATATATTGATTTTTAATGAACTAAATGGTAGAATTAATCAATAGATTGTCCGACAGTAAATTTAGTTTTGATAAATCACATGATCTGTCAGTATTTTTACTAAAGGATTATATTTAGTTGGAGGATACGGATTTTCAAAGGCATTTTTATTAAAGGATTGTATCTAGTTGGAGGATATGGATTTTTAAAGACTTTAATTAGTGGAAAAAATTATCCGATAATTACAAAATTATAAATGGTTGGAGGATATCGATCTTTAAAGAATTCAATCAGCGATAACGTTTTTTCAGAAGCTATAATAAATTGAGAATTGACAATAGAGAAGCAACGTAAGAACTGGCATGTGAGTTAGACGGCATTGACACTGCATTACGAAGATTCTTTTGACTATTTCACTTTGCCGGCAATCGAATTAGAAAATGTCAATTTGGAATGATTATTAACAGTGTTTTCCTTAACATAACAAACCAGGCAAATTCAGCCATTTGGCAAGCAAAAGTTGACAGAACAAGTAGACCATTTTATTTTCTGTTTGTTCTACAACAATCCATGATCAAGCAAACCCTTTTCATGAAGTTGGTAAAACCATTTTTCTGCTAAACATTTCTCTTTTCGTCGAAGATGAACAGAGTCCTCATCAGGGTACTGCCTCTTTTGATGTTTCTACTCTTCCATGTCTCGAATTCCGAAAATGAGGAAGTGAAGCAATCCCTGGTAAGATTCATGGACCAACTTGCGGCTGAAAATGTAAAGAGAGATCAAAGTTGGGGTTGGAACATGACATCAGACCCCTGCAAAGACAAATGGAAAGGCGTATCGTGTGATCTGCGGTTGCAGTCCGTCAAGAAAGTTGTTCTCGATGAGTTAAATCTGACCGGAGTTCTCGATATCGGTTCAATCTGCAAGGCAAGTTCCCTTTTCGTGTTTAGCCTTGTTAAGAACGATGTCGTTGGGTTGATATCAGGAGAGATTGGGAATTGCAAACGTTTGACTCATCTGTATTTAAATGGTAACAAATTATCTGGTCACCTTCCAGATTCTCTAACACAGTTGAGTAGCTTGAAAAGATTTGATATATCCAACAATAACTTCTCCGGCAAGGTTCCCGATTTGTCCCGAATTTCGGGCCTGCTTACTTTCCTTGTTCAGAATAATCAACTTAGTGGAGAGATACCAAAGCTTGATTTCTCCAATCTAATGCAGTTCAATGTCTCTAACAACAACTTCAGTGGTCCACTTCCTGATGTAAAAGGCCGGTTCTCTGCCGAAAGTTGGTCAGGTAATCCACAACTATGTGGAGAATCAATCTCAAAGGCATGTCCATCAACATCACCATCATCACCATCAACACCGAGATCCAACGATTCATCGAGGAAGCTGTTTCTTATCTACTCCGGTTATGCTGTTCTTGGTCTTATTATTCTGCTAGTCGTTGCCTTCATATTAGTGGGTGAAAGGAAGCCGAGAGAAGACAAGACGGATGTTGCTGGAAAGGGAGTTTACGCATACGCTAGCAGCATTTACGACGAGTCCAAGATCACCGTGCATAAGTCAGAGTATTCAGCAAGTTCTGACGAGAGTAGAGTCACCATGTCACCGCTCGTAGTTCTTAGAAGTCCGACGGCACTTGCTTTAAGGTTTGAGGACCTGCTTCGAGCTCCAGCTGAATTACTTGGAAAGGGGAAACACGGAAGCCTTTACAAGGTAACACTCGATAACGGAGCGACGACCTTGGCAGTGAAGAGAATCAAAGACTGGCGTGTTACGAGTCGAGACTTCAAGAGGAGAATGCAGAGGCTGCACCGGGCAAGGCATCCGAACATATTGCCATCAGTTGCTTATTATAGTTCCAATCAGGAGAAGCTCGTCGTGTACGAATATCAACCAAACGGAAGTCTTTCCAGGCTAATCCAAGGTAAAATTTCACCGATTCTACCGTATTATCATCTTATGCGTATTAAATAACAATCACAACTACGATTCCTTGTCGATTCAGGACCCGAAAACGTCGAGGCATTCGAATGGGGAAGCAGATTAAACGTTGCAGCTACACTTGCAGAGGCTTTAGCATATATGCACGAGGAGCTCAGAGAAGATGGGATTGCTCATGGTAACTTGAAATCAACAAACATACTGTTCAACAACAACATGGATCCATGCATCACTGAATATGGCCTAATGGTTTTGGATAGTAAAGATCCATCATCTAATAATTCCCAATCCAACAGCTTCGAAAATAACGACTCGGATCCTGCACAGGTTTTCAGAAGCTTTAAAGCAGATATCTATGGCTTCGGGGTGATTCTTCTTGAACTTGTGACAGGAAAGCTGGTCACCAACAATGGGTTCGAGTTGGTTCAGTGGGTGAACTCAGTGGTTAGAGAGGAATGGACCGTTGAAGTGTTTGAGAGAGGGTTGATTTTGGATGGTGCAAGTGAAGAGAGGTTGATGATCCTTTTGCAGATAGCATTGAAGTGCGTAAACCCTAACCCTTATGAAAGGCCAGACATAAATCAAGTTGCTCTTGTGATCAACGCGTTGAAAGATGAAGAAGATAAATCAAGCTTCTATCAGTGAACCACTCCAATACCCTGGTTCAGTGACCTATTAATCATGGGTGTTCATGGATTCAAATGATAGAATTATTTATATGTAATGTAATGTAATATTGATTTATTTATGTTAAGATGTATGAATATTATACTACAAAATTTTACAAATAAAATGATTTGATATATAAATTGTATAAATTTTAATTTATAAAAGTTTATTTATTTTCATAACATATATTTTATTTAGGGTTTAAGATTTAAGATTTATAGTTGATAATAATTTAGTATTTAAACTTAAAATTTCATATTATAAGATTTGAGATTAAAATAGCTAGATTATATAACTTTATATAACTTATATATAAAAAATAATAACTATTTCATTAAAAAAAAATTCATGTCAAACAATAGTTTTCTTTCTAAATTTAATTTTTAAGTTCATTTATTTTTTTCAGAACTAATGCAAGTAAGCCCCTTCATAATCCCAATTAATAATGCTATTTCATAAATTAAATATCATATAAAATTATATAAGTAATTTTATATTTCAAAGAAAGTATTATGAGGTTAATGTATTGGTGGAATATAAAGGAGACAAGGAATTGATGTGAATAAAAAATTTGTAAAGAGTTATATTCCGAAGATCAAATTGAATAAAACACAAGTTAAAAGATTAAATTGCAAAAAAGAAAAATTATTATCAAAAAGACAAATTAATGTTACATAAGTATTATAAAGTAGTGTAGAAGTATGCGATTCAAATTTAATAAAATATTTAAAATAAAAGAATAATTAAATAAACAAAAAATCATATATAATTAAGGGATCAAATTGAAAAATATTAAAATAAAAACACTCCTAAGAATATCATTTTAATATAAGGGTAAAATATAGTAATGGTCACTGAACTATTCTAAATCTTTCATTTCGGTCCCCTAACTTTTAAAACTTGTAATACAGTCTCCCAATATTTATTCCGTTTGCAATATGGTCCCCAACTGTTACGTCAGGGACCATATTGCAAACGGACTAAATGTTGAGGGACCATATTGCAAACGAACTAAATATTAGGTGATTATATTGTAAGTTTTAAAAGTTAGGGGACCTAAATGAAAGATATAGAAAATACAGTGACCATTACTATAATTTACCCTTTTTTTCATTTCCCATGCTTAAATGAACAAGTAATTTGAATACTGTACGTAAACTCAGAAAAAATAAATAACATTCCTACAAGATTTCGATTTCGTCAAGGAATTACCATTACATGTTATAAAGATTACAACATAAAAACATGATGATTTTAATCTCCCATCTAAGTAACGAAAAGCTTGAAACCCTAAACATATTGATGTGCTCAAGCATTTTGAACCCTAGCTGCTAAGGCACCCATGAAATCTGGGTACTGAAAGATATCATCTAACAAGAAGTCTTGACCTACCTGCAGGTATTTCGTTGGTACTTCATTAGCATAGGGCACCGATTCTGAGCCAGTGACTCCACTGAAACTCTCCACCTATTGAGGGAATCCTTGATTGTAATCGGCATTATAAAAACCTAAATGTTCATTCTTCAACTCGATTACAGGAACAGCTATTGAATGTTGAGTGCAGTTCGTGGTAACTTTAAGTTCACCTGATTTCTTCGGTAAGAACCCTTGAATTATTTCCTGGAACAAGCCGGAATCTGAAGGCTTCTGCGGAAGAATTCCATATCATCGATGGTTTCCTTGGGAGTGTGCGTCATGGTTGTGCCAGTGAAAGAATCGGATACGCTATCGGTTGCGCTTCGAGTAATGTTGTTGGTAAAGGATTTCAACAAAGATGCACAGGGCAAAATGCTTGAATTAGCTGGAAAAGTGAAAGAAAACGAAGAAGAGGAAGCATTTCCGTGGATTAATGGAATATAGTCCGCCAGAGACTGAGGAGGCGGCGCGTGGAGAGATGAATTAGATGAATTCAAGAGGTTGCGGAATAAAACCATGTTCGGAGAAGCGTTTCTTTGAGCAGAAGACCCAACGGAGAAGTCACCGGAATGTTGGTTTGCCAGCGATGACTAGTTAGAAGATTGGCCAAACTGATGACGGATGCAGTTAATGTCCCTGCTGGATGACTGTGACTGCTTCGAGAAGGTAAAAGGTGGAAGGAAATGATCGCTCGTCGAGTGAGGCTCCGTCGCCGGGTAGACGAAATTGGTTCGAGCCTTGATCCCACTCATAGATCGAGCTGCACAGTCGTAGGCGCATGCAGCCTCCTTGGCGGTGTCAAAAGTCCCGAGCCAACGCCGTTCCTTGGACTGGGGGTCTCGTATCTCAGCAGATAACGCCCCCACGGCCTGCAGCGAACACCACGGTACCTCATTGTTCCACCGGAGCCACCATTTCCTTTGAGAGACCTCTTGTTCGCCGCTGTGAAGGCGGTGGGAACAGCGGTATCTGTTGAGGCGGCGGCGCTCTTCTTTGTATAGTTAGTGATGGAGTCACTGGCATTTGGGTCGGAGATATAAGTCATGCCCTGTAGGCTCTTAAATACTTCTTCCATTAGCTAAAACTAGGAGAGAAGTACACAAGGAATCAAAGACAACAAAGAAGACTGGAGATTGGCACCTGGAATTTGGATCGTGGTGGATGGTACTTTGCACCACCATATATGCTTGTATTTATAGTCAAATAAACACTCGAAGAAAATCTACAGAAAGTGACCCTTTTTATTCATGTTTTACACAAACAAAATTAAAAAAAAAAGGTAGTGTTTGAATTTTAAATTAAGAATTTATATCTTTATGTAAATTATATATTAGGGTAAAGTATAGTAATGGTCACTAAACTTTTTAAATCTTTCATTTAGGTTCCTCAACTTTTAAAACTTGTAATATAATCTCCCACATTTAGTCCGTTTGCAATATGGTCCCTCAACATTTAGTCCTTTTTCAATATAGTCCCTGACATAACTGTTGGGGGACCATATTGCAAACGGACTAAATGTTGAGGGACTGTATTGCAAGTTTTAAAAGTTGGGGACCTAAATTAAATCTTTAGAAAAGTTCAGTGACCATTACTATACTTTACCCTTAATATAATTTAATAAGCTTTAATATACTCTACAATGGTGATGGTGATTGATGAGTTTTAGGTGTGATCAAATTAATCTCTCTCGTTTTTTCTCCTTTCTTCGCGGTGTGGGAATGTAATGCAACACGTGATCAAGATTTCGTTTTCCTCTCTTAATTTTGTACAGATTCTTTTCCACTTGTATGCTACAAAGTCCAATCCAATCCCAGTTTTAAAATTCCAGAAAAGAAAAACAGAAAATTATATTATAACAGCATCTAATTAAGCCAGCCAGTTCCCAGCAATATGAATGAAAACAGAGAAGAAGGATAGTTAAGAGAGATGGAAGTAAAGTCGTTCTTAGTTGAATCGGCGCCATTTGCAGCCATGGTAGCTGTGGAGTTCCTGATTGTAGGCTTAACTACCCTTAGCAAAGCTGCCATTTCCAAAGGAATGAGCCACTTTGTCTTCGTCGTCTACTCAAATGCTCTGGCTTCCATCGTTCTTCTTCCAGCTGCTTTCTTCACAAGGTTCTTATCTATCAGTCAAGTGGCTCCATTGTTGAGCTATTAGTAGTATTAATTTCTGTTGGGGTTTCCTGTTATGCAGGAAAAGCGACCACCGATTACTTTACCTTTGCTCTGCAAGTTTTTCTTGTTAAGTATTGCCGGGTATGCAATTAGATCTAACACAATTCTGTTTTCTTCAACTTAAAAAGTGGATTTTGATTGCTTTTTTGGTGAAAGAATTGGGTTATGAAACTGGGTTTTGCAGGATTACTTTGATGCAGAACTGTGTGTTCACTGGTGTAAGTTACAGTTCTCCGATCCTTGGTTCTGCTCTTGCTAATTTAATCCCATCTTTCACTTTCTTGCTTTCTGTCATCTTCAGGTTCCTCTCTTAATCTTGCACAGTCTTAAACTGGGATTGAAACCTAATTGTAAGAGCATTAATGTCACTTGTTTCTTGTTGTATGTACTAATTTTGAAGTCTAAACAGCTGTTTTTTTTTTGAGTTGATGCATCCGATAATGTATAGAAACGACTCAACAAGAGTCAACGTTTAACTTTGATCTTCTAATGTCTATTGAGTCGAGTGGTTAGGAGCTCACCCTTAAGGAGTTTACATCTTGTGGAGGGGAAAAAACCAGCACTGGGAGAGGTTGACCCTATTTTGGGGTCTGATCCGACTCGACTCAAGATATAACCGGAGCCACTTGGTCTAGAGGTTGACCTAATTTTGGGGTCTGACTCAACTCGACTCAAGATGTAGTCGAAGCCTAATGTGGTTTATCGGATACCGGGAAGTGTTAGATAAAAGTTTAACTTGATGTCTGATATATATCAGCTATTCCTTTTAACTTTCTAGGATGGAGAAGCACAAAGAGTCGGATCAAAATCTTGGGCACCTTGGTATCCATTTCTGGAGCACTCATACCCTTTACAAGGGTCCTCCAATAATTTCCCCACCATTTCAACAACATTCAGAGCTATCTCCTTCTACCATGTTAACAACAACACCGAACAATTGGATCATAGGCAGCCTCTTCATTGCCACTGCCGGTTTCTCACTTTCGCCTAGCATCATCGACCAGGTAACTAGCATGCTATTTCTTTTTAACCCTCTAGACCAGACCTATGCATTACGACTAGATCTAGTGAGTTACAGTAAAATTTTCCAAAAAAATTCTTCGATAATTTAAATTCATATTATGAATAACCATATTTTAAAAACATAGTTATTAATAATAAGTTCTAATTCGAGTATATATAAAACCATAAATGATTAAGGAAAACCACATCTTTCACAAATCAGTATCGATGAAATTCTAACATCAATCACAAAAGCAATATACATCGCAAGACAAGTATTTCAAAATAATAAGGGCATGTCACCCAAAAATAAAGGCAAATCGAAAGATAAAAACATTACAACAAAATGTTATGTACAAATATTTCGATCCTCCAAGTGGACGGTCCGAGTCACTTATTAAAAAGTATCTAAAAGAGAAAAGTTAGGGGGAGTGAGCTAGAAAGCTCAGTGTGTTCCAACAGTGTAGAAATAAAACATACAGTTAAACTTCTAAATCAGTTCAGTTCCAAGTTATGAAACGTCAGTAGTGTTTTTGGCTTAAAATACATAATCGTCCTCCAACCGAACACCATATGCAATTCCCCATAACTGAATCCATAAGGCCTTACCCTAGGCCCAAAGGGCATAAGTGCCAACCTAAGGGAGCACCTTGGGTCCATAAGGTTTTATCGTAGTCGAAGCGTAGGTGCCCACCTGAAGGGTGTGCCCTCAAGCCCATAAGGACTTACTCAATGCACATAGCATAGGTGTCACCTTAAGGGAGTATTTTAGGGTCTATAAGGTCTTACCACTAGGCCTATTGGGCATAAGATCCCACCCAAGGGTCGTCTTAGGTCCATAAGGAATTATCAGCTTGATCGGTGCTAAACCAGCATGTGGAATTATTTATCGGAGTTGAACGGTGGCTGGCGACAAGGAGTTCAACGGTGGTTGGCGCGATGCAAGGATTTTCCTCCCTCGATTAGCGACTTTCGATGATCGAATTGGGGTCATTGACGACTGGGTACGGGGCACGGGAAGGCGTCAGTTCGACTGGTGGTGATGGAGCACGGCAACGACAGACAGAACAGGCGAAACGTAGAGGCCAATGTCAGTTTTAGGGGAAAATTGAGGATTTTTTTGGATGGGTTCGGGTTTCACGAGCTGGGAGTGAATGAGTTTTTGGGTATTAAAATCAAGTATGAAACACTATAAGATATTTTTAGTTAAATTAATTATAAATAGCGACATGACCTTGTTGGTAGAGTGATCATCAGCCATGCTCTAGGTCATGGGATCAAACTAGCACAGTTACCAAATTCCATTTTTTTATTTTTCCACTGACCAGAAAAATGGGAAAATTCAGAATTAGGTCCCTAAACTTCCTATAGATTCTAAAACAGACTATAAGTTCTGAAATCTTGCAATTTGGTCCCTAATTAAATTAAATTAAATTTATAATTTTTATTCTAAAAATTAAGGGTGTGACAATTCTCCTCCCCTTAAAATAATTTTATCCTCGAAATTCATTCGAGTCGAACGAAAAACGAAAACTAGGTCTTTAAACAAAGGCTAATTACTCTGTTGACGATAATGAAAAAACTCGCTAGATTCAGAATGAAAACGGTGAACTGTGCCTTAAATCGAAAATCTGAGGGTCTCAATATAGGAAACTCAAGTATAGAAATGGCATTTTTAGAAATGCATGGTGAGTAACAGAAATAACAACAACTATACTTGTAGAAGTCCCAGGCTCAACTCGATAACCAGAACGTTGGGTAGCGTAGACAAGAGTAGGTTGTCGAGCATCAGAAGCATTTGGTCCTCTACTCTGTGTTCAAGATCTACTATCGGCCCAAGAAATAGATCTGGAAGTTCTAACTATGACTCCTAACTGGGGTCTGAACTGAAGCATGAGTACGTGCAGGAGTCTGAGTGGGTGTCCGATCGATAGAGGCTGAATGAGGATAATTCCTCAGAAAGTGCTCGCTAGAGCTACAACGATAACATGTACCCATATTCTTAAGACACTCTCCCCCGTGTAGATTTACACAATGCTCGCAACTTGGTATCCGAGTGAATCCTGAAGAATTGCCTCAACTATATAATAGAGGTGAAGATGATGCATGTCTTGAACCATTATGACTCCCCTGATAAGCAGCAGTATGAGTCATCTCATCAGGGCGTGTATAAGGCTCAAACTGACCAAAAGGTCTCCTATATCGCTCTCGATCTACCCTATCTCTATTAGGAGCAGAAGCCTCGACTTATTCAGCGACTTTGGTGCTCCCTACTACAACATTGAACACTTCATCCTGATGAGTAACCACCTGACAACGCAGCTCGTATCTGAGTCATTGAGAAAATTTTTGGCACATATCCCTCTCGGTAGGTACCAAACTAGAATCATACCTCAGCAACTTCAAAAACTCGATCTCTTACTCAGGAACTATCATATCTCCTTGAACCAGGTCCTGAAACTGTTGTCGTCTCTGAGCCTAATATCGCTCTCCCAGAAAACGACTCCTAAAATACTCCCTGAAGAAATCCCAAGTCAAGCGATCGAATGGAACACTGCTCATAACAGACTCCCACCAGGTGTGGGCATTTTCGTTGAACATAGAGACGACTCTCAAATAACGCCACTGCGGATCTAAACCTATTACATCCATACGTCGCTCGGTATCACAAAGCCATTCTTCAGCCTTAGTCGGAGCTCCACCAGTAGGACCTCCAAAGGTCATAACTCCATTAACAATCAGAGTCTAAGAAATAAGAACTTCGGGTGTAACGCCAACAACTCAAACCGCTCTATGAATCAACTGCAAAAATTATCTACCTACTTTCTCATCTAATACTACCCTCACAGGCTCAGACTCAGAATCAATCGCTCCTCTAACCTGAGTAGTCAACCCTATACCAGGGGTAGGGGTAGACTAATCAGGGTTATAAGGGCAATATTATCTACCGAATGCGGGGGATCTAGACGCATCTCGTCTATGGGGTCCACAAACCTAGTCGCTCAACCTCGTCCTCGGCCAGGTCGACGACCAAGTCTAACACTCATCTTGGTGGATCTCGAGGTTCACTACAGAAAGAAAAAGCCTAATATTTTATTGTCATTTGAAGCCCTCACAGAGCTAAACTCATAAAAACTTGGTGACATGACCTTCGTGACTTATTTTGTAAAACATTTTAAAACCGTATTTTTATTTGGGACCCATCAACAGACCGAGGTTTAAAAACCAAAAGCTTTGATACCAACTAAATGTAACATTCTAGACCCAACCTATGTGTTACGACCAGATCTAATAAGGAGTACTAATATTATAGGTTTAAATTTGAGGAGTAAGGGTGAACACGATAAACAGTATCGATACTGATGCAAGTAGTATCGATACTGAAGTGGGATATCGATACCAAGATGAATGTATCAATATCATTATTGAAAAATAGATTCCAGAATGTGAAAATGGTATCGATACTGAAGGGAGTATCGGTGCCATAGTAAAGTATCGATACCATAGGATGGGTACCGATATTATTCAGCCTGAAAATTTAAGTTAGGATAAACTTTATTAGAATTCAAGATTAATGGTACTTTGAGTATTATTATTTTGTATAAATGTTAGTAATATACTAACATTTATATTTTATGTGTGTGAATATGGATGCTTGTGTAGATCGTAAGCAAGCTCCTGAATCTAACAAGCAAAAGGGCAAGGATAAGGTTGTCGAATAGTCGGGCATCAGTAAGGCATAATAGTGAGGCATACCAGGTGAGTTCATTTATTGTACTTATATGAGATGAGGATGACTTGTGATGAGTTCACCTCAAATGTTTTGATAAAAGTATGTTTTACAGTATTTCGATATATTTTCATAATGTTTATGGAAATGATATTACTAATAAAGTTTAGAGTATGAACTGCTCTAAAAGGGATAGATGATTTTTTATGTTGTTCAAATGAATGTCAAGTCTGTGAATTTGACTTAAAAGTCCATTGTATGTGTATTTAGAGTCATAGGTGCATTGCGACATACATTGTATGTAGTGGTTATCAATCGATTTTGTTTAATGCATGACGGTGCATTTTCGTATCAATAATATGT